GAGCGGGGCTGACGCGTTCGGCTTCTCCTCAGGAAATGTGGCCGTCGCCGCTGGCTGTGGCTGGAGTGCGTGCGGGGGTCACCGAAACCCGGAACAGTTCCGAGCCCTCAGGGAGGCTGTGCCTGTATCCAGTAGTGAGTTCTTAGCTGCAGTAAAAGCTGCTGTCTCTGAAGCGGTGTCCAGCTTTCCCCCTGTCCTCCTAGGGCGCTTAAGAGGAGCAGCAGTCGGGTTGTTCCTGCTCGTTCGTGTGTTTCTTACGGGCGCCGATGCGGGTGCCAGAAGAGGTGAATCCCCCGGGTCAGGAGGGACCTGAGGCGCTGACGGCGGCAAGAAGCATCTTCCTCCTTGCTGAGGGCGGTGGTGCTCGAGGGGCTCAGCCCCGCGCCGGTGCCGCGCGCGCCGCAGCTGCGGGCCGTGCCGGGTGGGAGCTCCGCCGCGTCTGAGGAAGTGGCTGCTGTGGAACCGCTCAGCTCGGCGTTTGTGTCGCGTTACGGGCTGTCAGCAACGGGCTGACCTGCGGCGTGAACAGGTCATGGAGGGTCTCCTCTTGCTGTTTGAAGTTTTACACCCTTGCGTGTGTTGCTGGTTTTGTTACAGTTGAGAAGCATGCTGGTAGCATCTTACCTGGGTCGCTGGAATCCAATGAAACTTGGACCGACAACTGTTCATTTGCAGAATCTTACATCTGCTTAGCTACTGGCACCTTGGCACCAGATAGACCTCTAATGGAAGCTACTGAATCTTTTGTAATTTTCCTTATTACTTTATTTTATTTTTTTAAAATTGCATATTTTTGTATGCAAAAGTAGTACAGCAATGGGCTAAATCTTCAGTGTGTTCGTTTCAGTACACTGTAAGCTGTCCTTGCAAGAGTTAAGTCGGTTTTTTTAGAAAAAAACAGGTTATCTGTCACTCATGTGTGATGTGTCTTGTGTTTCATCTTCATTTTAGACACTACAGTTACAGTAGTGTTTAAAGTAGTTTAGTGGGTTCTGTTATTTTACTGCTTAATTTTAAAGTTGGTATGTTGTGACTTTTCCTGAGACAGCCTTTCAAATTTTGTGCACAGAAGCTTCACATCCATTCTTTCAGTCAGGAATCTTAATAGCTAGTCACGTAATTCTCCTTGGCTTTTTAAGATCTTCCCAGGTTACTTTCATTAGAAGGCTATGTTATTTTAAAACACTATTTATATGTGACTGTTTTCAAATAGGTATTTCAGATATTTGCCTTGACCATGATTGCAAAGAGTTAAATATCTTAGCAGAAATTGAAAGTAGAATAGTAGAAGGAAACGCTGACTTTAGAGTGCATCATATTAATAGTGTAGGATAAAATGGGTTCATAACACTTCATTTTCTTAGATGCACCTATCTACTCAAACTTTACTCATTTGAGCAAGTGATCCTGTGTGTGGATTTCTGTCCAGTTTCCTTTCATCAAGAGTGCACTTAAGACGTGCACTCCATTTAGTCCTGTTAATTTCAAAAAACACTAGAAAGAAACTCTGGGTACTTCATGCTTGCGCTGCTCAGCGCTTGCACATTAAAAAATTGAAAATATAACAATTGCCTAAGTTTCCAGTGGATTAATGTTTTCTAGATCAGTTTAAGGCTAAATAGCCCATTGAATATGTTTCAGAAAATGTTTGTGTTGTGAAAGGGACTTTCTATTTAACATATTGCACTTCTTTTTGGTGGTGTACATTATTGCAGAAGAGTTGTCACTGAACTTCCTCTTCTGACTGATTCTCTCTCTTTGTTTTAAATTGTGAATGATTTAGTCTTGTCTGTTTTATTTACTCACAAACCTGGGCTATGAGTCAGTTTCTTCTGGCTTAAGGGTATTGTTGGATGTCTTCCCTCCCCATGCTTTGTACACTGACTGTTTTCTTTCAGCTTGTGTCATTTTGTTTCTAGAAACTTGCCATTTGAGTTGGAATGGACGTTAATGATAGCAGAAGCTTTCATAGTTTCTAGGGCTGTCCCAGGTCTCATGCACAAAGTACATGTGATACTTGTCTAGCATATCATGCAGTTAAAATGCTGATATAAGAATTTAATTAATTTTCTGTTTTATTTAAATAGATATTTAAATAATAAATATATCAAAATACATAGTCCAATATTTGACTTTAAGTTTTTACTGGACTTCTTAGATGAAGGTGTCTAATTACTAAATCTGTTGCTTCAGATTTTCTCTAATCTGTCATACTTCTTTGGTCACATCATCATGGTATTTCATTGTGAGTATATATACTTACCTTACTAACACCCTTCTATTTTACTGACTTGAACTCAAAGAGAAGAGATCTGGTGCTTTTCAGTATGAAAATCACTGAATAGAAACTGGCTAGTGTTGGATGTAGCAGAAAGTGTGAGACACAGTTAATGTGTGGTTATAAGAGCAAGGCTATCAAAAATGGCAAAGTGTGATGCATGTGTTTACATTTTGTCTCATGTACTACACCTGCTGGTAACACCTGCAGAATGTGGAAAGCTACACTTAACATTTTATAAGTCCCAAGAAAATGGGTATCTGAGTAGAGATGAAGTAACCCAATTCAGTGTTCCCCACTGAAGGAAATGTGGTTACAGCTTGCCTACTGAGGTAGCACCTCTCTGGTCACAGGACTTAATGGCACATGCTTAGTTCTCAGTCAGGTTATGATGTACTATGATGTTCCTTCTTGTACAGCTAGGAGATGAGTAAGGCAACAAAATAAGGATCACTTTTGTCGAGATGCTAAGGATCTCATAATAGTGAGGAGGGTAGGTAAGGGGCCATAAACTTGTTGGATATTGAGGTCCACTGATTCTTTTGTTAATTAATAGGTTACGGCTGTTTTTAAGGTTTGCAGTTATTTCTAAGTAACAACAACTCCTGAAGTGCAGTGTTCTCAGTTTTTGCTGCTCTGCAAATATTCAGTGTTTGACAAGATGTGCTTGCAGTTTTCCTTGAAATTGTGTAGTTTGGCTGGATTTCAATGACCACAAGGAAAGTTTTAGCCAATTATTAAATCTTCTTGCATCTCAGATTCGTGGAAGTTTTTTCTCAATCTATTTTTCTTGTATTACCAAATAATCTATGGTGATTTCATCTATGGAGACTTTGTTTCTGGTCGTTTTGGAAGGTGTTTTTTTAGGTACATAGTTGAAATGCCTTAAGCTTGGTAACACTCAGATTTATTTGTAATCATGCAGGTATAAAAAACTACAAAACGCATTCATGTAACTGTTTATTTAGTTGCTTTTTATAAAGTTGCTAAACTATCTCAGCTCTTCTGGGGTCTAAAAACCTGATTTGCTGACTGACATTGTATGAAAGTATGCTTTTTTCTCCTGACCAAGAAAAAACAGTGTAGTTGGTGCTGAAATAGAACCTAACATCTTTGACAGGAACTTCCTTTCTCATTCAGGTAGTACATGAAGATGGAATTTACAATTAAACACACATGGGATGGTTTACCTGTGAGCCATGAGCCAGTTAAAATTGGGCTGAAGTCAGACAATGCAGGACTGATAATGGAAGTGAATGCTCCCTTCTTTAATGATCCTCCAGCACCCCTTGGAGAACCAGGGAAACCTTTCAGTAGATTGTGGGACTATGAGGGTAAGTGTAACTGTTCTGCTGAAAATATATCTGACTTGATGTTCTCTGCAGTTAATATGCCTTGGCTTTATTTAAGAGTTCATAATGGTTGTTTTTTTCAAACTGATCTAATGATTGTGAATGTATTACATCTAATTTAATTTGCTTTCTTTGGTCACAGTACTACTTTCAAAGGTCAGATCTGAAATGTAAAGTAAATAAAAAATAGAGGTTTGATATCTTGAATATCAAAATAATTTTGTGGCATATATATATAAAAATGCATTTGCAGTAGGTGAATAGAAGTGAGATCCTAAATATAGATTCTACTTCTGCTTTAAGGAGTATGGAGCAATAGCTAAAATTTGTGTATTTTAATCACTTTTCCAAAGTATATTTGAGGAATAAGAAGCTATGAAACAATGAGCAACTTGTAAAATATGATTCAAAAATGTACCTAAATGGAATGAGGAATATTCTTATAGTAATGCTGTTTTCTTTTTCCATTCTTGTCAATACTTTCACCTGTTGCTTTGAATGTTTCCCGTAGTTCTCTGCTTCCTCATTATTGAGATATTCTGATTAAAGCTCTGCTAGAACAGTATTAACACCTCTTTGATATTATTAATAGGCTTATGTAAAAATAAATTAAGTTATCAATCTAATTATAATTCTAATTAAAGCTCTCCAATAATGTGATTCCTGTGGGAAACATCATTACAGTTCTAATCTGTGTTCCTGAAAGGTGATTCAGCAGTCATACCTGGCTTTCAGGTGCACCTAGAATGTTAATCCCCTGTCCAAAGTTTTAGCTATCTAAAGAGAAAAGCCACTGAAGAGCTAAATACTTCCCTACTGTTTCTGAGATTTACCTGTATTCATAATGGGGTGTGTGGGCTCTGTTGTGACTATATGCTCCTCTCTTCACTTTTTATTTCTTTTTCTGGTCTCTGGTGCTTTGTATCTGCAGGCTGCCAGCAAACACAAGACTTCTACACTTGTTTGCTCTCGCTGGAGTGCATGCTGAGTGTACGATGAGCTAGGATCCCTGTCTTGGTCAGCTTTGCTCACAGCATGCATGCTAGATGGAGTAGCTGTGTGCTGATGCTTTTCTCCTTCCACGGACAGCTACTAACATTAGTAGACCTGTCATTTTTCTGCTGCATCGAGTGTTTCCAAAACAGGAGATGGTAAAGTAAATGAATTTAGAATGGTGCTTTATAAAGCTCTTTATGGTGATAGGCATGAAAAATAAGTGTTCTTGAAGTTATAAGTTCAGCACAGCATTTCAGATAGCTAGGAAGCTGTCAGTAGCATGTACATAGCTAGATAAACCCAGGCATGGCACAGGCCAAGTGTTGTGAAAACATAATTGTTTTAGTAGGATATGAATATGTCAGGATATTACAAAACAGTAAAAAATATTGACAGCCTGTTTTTTTACAGTTGTAGAAGCATTTTTCCTGAATGACAGAACTGAACAGTATTTAGAAGTTGAACTTTGCCCGTAAGTACAACACTGAAAAAGTCACTGCTGTTAATTTGAATTTCCGGTTCTGATGCTTATAAGATACATGTATGAGGAAGACTGGGGCTACATAAATTGTACCAATATGTGGAATGTACATATTTGTGTTAGAACAGTAAGCTAATGACTTGGCATAATTTTGAGAAATTTGTGCTCTTATTTTTTTGAAAGCCATGGAGAACACTTGTTGCTGCTGCTTTCTGGCAGAAGAAAAGTATGGAAAGTAAGTGGTCAAGTACATTCATAATGTACAGAAAACCTAATTGTTTTTAGGTACCTGTTGCCAGACTGGAAGATTATGTGACCTTTTTGTGTTGTTTTTTTTCCCTTCTTTAACAGGAAGAGCTTCCTTTAGAGTTTGAGGTGACCAGAACGGACACCAAATGGGAGGGTAAAGCTTGTCTTCCTTGGAATTATTTTCCACCATGCACTAACAAGTTCAATGCATTTGCAATTCATGGCTCGGGAGAACAGAGAAAATATGAGGCACTTTATCCTGTGCCTCAACATGAACTACAGGAAGGACAGAAACCGGATTTGTAAGCATAAAACTAGCACTTCTATTATATAGTTGCACTATTTTTTGAATACTGAAAGAGAGCCAATCTTGTTTTCAGATTGCCACTAGTAGTTTAATTACACTGTTTATCCCCAGATCCACTGGCACTGTACTTTGTGTAAAGCACTGTGGCAGATAGCTGTAATTAGTGCTTGATTTCTATGTTATCCCCTAGGTGCATAGAAAATGATTCATTCAACACCACTGGCATCTGTTTTATCACCTTCCTCAGCTAAATCTTGGATAGGTTGTGCTACTATTTTCCTTGCCTCCAGCACCTCCTGAAATGCAGTTTAGTATTAATTTCACCAAATAGATTTCCAGTGAATCTCTTTTGTGTCTTTCCTACTGTTCTAAACAACCTTATCTCTACAGGTGGTTCCATATTGTAGAAAAATTTGAAAAGGGAGACTAAATGGAAAAGTATAATAAAAAGATACTCAGTATAAATAAAAGAAATATAATATATTGATTTTTGAATTGTGCTTTGGGCCTGTGACTGTGAGGCTGCTGTGATTTGATAAAAACTGCTTCTTCTGGGCATTTTGTGTAAATGAACTAGCTATAGAGGCTACTCTGTAGTTCTTTTGCGAACTTGTTAATCAACATACAATGATAGCCAAGTTAAGATGAATTTCAGATAAGTTACCCTTTATTGCCTTTATTTAAGAAAAGTAGAAGTAATGTTTTTCAGGAAGGGATTCCTTCGATTTTTTTAAATTTTTTTTTGGTAGTACCCCTTCCAAAAATCCCCTGGATTTTTTCAGACATTGGTAGCAGTTGCAATTATGAGAAGTTGCTCCTTGCTGCTTTCATTGCTCATAGTTTGTCTTTATTCTTACAAATTACTTCCAAATAAGAGAATTCAATTTGGCTTTTAAAAGTGATTAGTGTATTGTCAGATGTTCTGTCTATTGTTTGGCAGTTGTTTAATGTAAGTATTAATAAGCTATAGGCTTCAGTGTCTTCTTTCTATTGTTTCTGTATAGTAGCCAAAAGGAGAAATTGTTAGCAAGAACTGATTAATAATGTTTGAAAGAAAATGAGACTCCTAGTCTTACAGAAGAAAAATGTGTAGTAGTTTCACTAGCCCATCCATTCTTCCTCATTTCTGTAAGGAAGGGATGTCCCTGTGAGATGATTTTTCAGTTGGTCAAGAGTTTTAAATTTTTACTCAGTTGGAGTGCAGATAAGTCTTAAAGGACGAAATTGCTGTCCTCTTGCTCTGGCTGCAGTTCCAGGCAACAGAAATTGAGGGAGTTTAAAAGGTGAGCTCTCTCATAACTTGATTTTATGCTCTGCAATACCTGATCATAGCTGAGGATTTTGCCCTGTGTTTGCAGTATGAGATTTTCAGAAACACAGTAATGCTTTTTATTTATAAACTCAAGTTTTGGAAAGAGAACCAATGGAATGAATGTTACATTCTTGTCCAAGAAAACATGAAAATAAAGATCAATTAAACCTATTTAGGGTACTGCCTTTTTTAAAGATTTACACCTTTTTTTGTTGATTTCTTCTCTCTTTGCAGTCATCGTCTGGAATTTTTCAAAGATTTGAACCTGAAAAGATTAATGGGAGAAGACTGGAAACAGCCTGAATCAGATTTATGGAAATATCTCACTAATTAAATGGATTGAGGCATAAATTTTTATAGCATTAAAGTGGGATGAAACAACTTCATTCTGAGCAGAGTTTGAAAATATCAGATGAGTAAGGCTTTTCTTGACACCAAAATCATTGATCAATATTAAATAAACTTTAAAGCACCTAGGGCAATTGATTCTGAATATGTGAAGTATGTGACAGCTGGTATTTCAGTTCATCTAGGTATGGAGTTTTTAATCTGTGCAAGACATGAATCTGCTTCTACCAGCGAAGGGAAAACAATGGGCTAAAACTGCAGCTGTGTTTTCATGAGAGCTCTAAGCCTGACAAAGCGATATCTAGCGTGGAATCTTTCAGTTTCCTGTAGTTGCTGCAGTTCTGCTATATTTTTTGCTGCTGCTTGTTTGTTTCTTAGCTGTTGAATGAGATTCTTATGTGCCCAAGTCTTTTAACGGCAATCAGGAGAAAAAATGCCTCCTTCAGGAACAGAAAAGTATGTAGCTATTGTGGCATTTTGTGGCCCAGTACTTGGATTGCAAAATACTGTGGAGGTATAACACTACCCTTACCTGTCCCTTTTTATACCTGAAATTTTCCCTTGCACAGTGCTGAAGGAGGAACTCAAATCTGTAGTACTTCATTAGCAGACCTCTGTGCTTCTAATTCAGTGTGGAACTTGTAGTGATACTCAGCTACAGAGGATAGATTTACAAAAGATTTTATGTATTTTAGGAAGTTTCTGGGATAAATCATGTTTAATAAAACCTTTTGATGTAGTTTTGTTCCTACAAAAGCTTGTTTGTTCCAAGACCTTGTCACATCACCTGAAGGATTCAGATGTTTGAGAATTTTGTTTGCATGCCACCTAATGTTGGAAATAATCTAATTGTATATGCCTGCATTTCCTACATATGGACATGGGTATTTTTAACAGTACTGAGTACTCTTAGATGGTAACATCTAACATATAAGCTGTCACACAATATACAAATTAGATGTTTCTTCTTTGTTTAGTATATTAAGTGCTGCTCAATTATGGTTACTACTTGATTCTGTATATATATTAACTTAGAAAATGGGAAGTTTATCCACTAACCAGGTCCTATATCTGAGAAACAGGTGGCTTTAAAATCAAACTTCTTTGGTTTAGTTCAGAATGAGGATTCAGACAAAGACATAGTCCTCAGTCCTTTACTAGATAGAGGACTTCCTGCATACTGTTGAAATGTCATCATCACAGGGTAAAAGGTGGTTTTGTTCTAATAGTTTTGTGTGAAGGATTCTTTAGAGAGTCTGAGAGAATATGGCTCAGTCTCAAGTGAGAGAGCATCTTTCAGAAGTCTAGTCCTGAGGATGTGGTACCAGGTTTTACCCTTTAGTGTACCATTTTCTACTGCACAATTCAGAATCCTACTAGTTCCTGGGAAGCATGAGTGTTCTTGTAGGTGAGCATAGCAATCAAAGCAGGGCTATTGTAGAAGGCAGTTGGGTTTGCTCAAGGCCTTTTTAAGTTTTGAAGACCTCCGAAAGTAGAGCTTCAAATGGTGTGGGTCACCTGTTTCAGTACTTAACAGGTTCTGTTACAAAAACTTATTTAACTGCCATTTCCTGTGCTGCAACTTGTGTCCATTGCCCTTTGTCCTTTCCCTGTGCATCCTTCCCCATGAAGAGTGAAGATTCCTCTATAACTACTGATTAAGTAGCTGAAGATAACTGTTTGATCCCCATGGATTTCTTCAAATGTTCCCATTCTCAGTTTACCCTTTGTGACTCTGATTAGCAAGCACCTTCCACTCACAGAAAACTGACAGACAACATAAAAGTCTAACTTGGGTCGTAACTCAGATGCAGCGATGCTCTGAGACCTTTTGTGTTTATTTAGTTCATAAATGGTTCTTAAAATCTTCTCTCTAGCTTTAGACATCAAAATGTCTGTGAAATGCACAAGGCTGCATTTTCTAGGTCATATTACTTAAAAAGATTCTCTTGTCTCTTCTAAACTTGTATGCAGTAATAACCATAGACTGATGGTCATGTTTTCTGTACTATCTTTAAATTGAACTCTGCATGTGAATTCTGCCTGAGAAGAAAAGAAGATGGGGATATCCTGCCTTTGTGAACGTCTCAGTGTGATGAATATCCAAGATAGAATGTTACAACAAGAGTTTTTGCTTGGCTTTAGCATTCCTCTTTGAATTCTGTTTTATAGAACTTTACTTTCAAATTTAAGGATACTAGTCTTTTTCAGATGCAGACATTGACATGCCAGTGCACTCAGCCATCCAATTGTTTCTGCTCTCTTTTAATTAGGCACTACAGATTCCTTGCTATAAAGTGCCATCTGTTGAAAATTTTAAGTATTGTACATTCAGTTGTTTGGCTTCTTTTCTTCAGTCCATGTATGGTTTTTCAAAGAATAACATTAGTCTGAAGTATTGAATAATCCAGTCAATGTTGGTTGAAAACATCTTCTAGATACTGCCATCTTAAAACTGCTTTTAAAATTCCAGTCAAAAGTGAAAAAAAAAACCCACCACATTTCTCTGAAGCTTTAGACTTCATTTTAAACAGTTTGTTAAAAAAGGTATGCAAAGGTTAAAAATGAGTTTACTGTTTTTCTCACAGAAGTTGTTTTCACATGGTGATTGATGCTTTGTATGTAAAGGACAGTAAATCAAATTATTTATTCAGAGGCTTCATCTCACATTCATTCCCACTTCAAACTGACTACTTCAGATATGACTTTGGAAGTCAAAGCTTTGAGGGAAATGGATTACTTTCCCTAAATAAGTAATTTAAAGTAAAATAATTGTGGTACAAAATTTAATGGTATATGCTTCTGAAAATGGGACTGGTCATGTAGACTTTGTTCAAGGCAGATACTACTCCACTCTGCTGTCAGTTGGTTCACTTGTGTCTTCCTAACCTTTAAGAGTCTGTTTGATCTCTGAGTGCTGTCTGTCATCAGAAAGTTTCCATATGGGTTTGTGGAGTGCAGAGTTGGAACCTGTGCACTGACTTGTTTCTAAAGGTTGAAAGTTAAATTAATCCTTTGGTAGAAACTTTCTGTAGGAGGGGGTATCTACTTAAGGCATGTGTTAGATGGAAGCACAGCATCTTGGCACATAGTAGTGAATTCTTGGCAATACGATACTTGCCAGCATTGTTTAAAGTTCCCAGGACTTTGCAGGGATGCATACCAATGTTCATTGGGATGCTAGTTAGTAACTTTCTGGCTCTGATCTGCTTTTAACCTGGCCTTGTGTTACATTGTGGAGAACAGTTGTTGCCGTTCTTTCCTGAATTGTCTCTCTCTTGCAATACATGAAGAAAAGAAAAAACATACTGTTCTGTGTGAGTTCTGTTTAAGTACATGTTAATTAATTGTTAAACCTAGTATAGAAGAAAGGTGATGCAGTCTGGCTCAGTTTATGTATGTATGTATAGACATTCAGCACTGTACTGGTTTTGTATGTCAAATTTGAATCAAGAATAATATAAATAAGTGCTCAATATTGTCACACTGGATATACTTTATGTAAGATATCAATTTGATAAAATGCAGAGCTACATGATAGAAAGCAAAGATCATGAAAGCGTTCTATCCACAAATCATTTTGCTTTGAAATGGATTTAAACACTTCAACCTTGTGAGCACTTCTTATCTGTTGCTGTCTTTAAAGAATGTTAAGACATCAATCTGTCTTGTAAATGTTTTTTTGTGGATAATATTTGGCCTTGTGCCAGTTACATTATGTGACATACCAGGTGTAAGATGCAGGAATTTTATTCCTTGGAAATGGGGGAATACCCACTGGGGTGTGCAGGTATTTGATTTTTTTGTTTTTTTTAGTTCTGCAGAGGCTTTAGATAACCTTAAGTGGAACATTTTCATATGTGAAAATTTCAATGTAATGGCAATTTTTACTTATTTTACCATATTTAACCAGAATTCCTAAGGAGATGAGGCTGTTGGGTTATCACTATGTTTATGCCTTTCTGGCAGTGTTGTCGTCCATTTCCCCCACTACCACAACAATTTTTAAACCCATTAGCCAATTTCAGCTGAATCAGAGGATCAGACAGCCTTAAAAGATACTGGATTCTTGCAAAATGTGTGGACAAGAATAGCTGAAGGCAGTTCCTAACTATAGCACCCCAAATTGAGGAAAGTGAGAGATCATCTCCTAGGCCTTGTCCTCTAGCTGTAGTGCCCAATTCTTGAAGCAGTTGGTGCACGCTTAACTTTAGCTGACATGCATATAACTTCCTACTTTGGAACTTTGATTAGGAAACTGGGAAATGTGTGGAGCTTAAGGGATATGACATGCTGTCACAGAGGTGAGCTTAGATTTCACAGACCTGTGCTCTAGTGTTACTTCAAGGTAAGAATCTTAGGAGACAGCGTGTTTGTATAAAATAGAAATGTATGAGTAGCCATGTTTTGTTAATCCTGCTGCTAACACATACCAGGCAGGGTAGATATCCAAGCATGTTTTCAGTGCTTTTTTTTTTTTAAAAAAAAACACAACATCAAAACAACAAACAACTCAAGAAATTATTCACCTGTTCCTGTCCTTTTTCAGAAGAAGATGCCACACAAAGGATAAAGGATGGAGTTCCTCCAAGTTTAATGCCAGGGTTAGTTGAAACCACAAGGGTGTAGTATCAACTTGTCATTGCCTCTGCAAATACACTTCCGGCTTAATCAATTTTCTAATTCAGTAGGTTCTGTTGTGAAAATGTTGATCCTAAAGAGAAGCAGAATATGAGCTTGAAAACACTGCTCTTACTTAGTGAGATAATATTGCTCCTATTGCTTTCATAGTGCTCCATACTAGCCATTCTCTCCCCAGCCTGTATTTGTGCCTGGGGTTGTGCTGACCTGGGTGCAGGACTTTGCACTTGGCCTTGTTGAACTTCCTGAGGTTGGCATTGGCCCACCTCTCCAGCCTGTCCGGGTCCCTCCGAATGGTGTCTCTTCCTTCTAAGGTGTCAACCACACCACACAGCTTAGTATTGT